TTGCAACTAATTACAACTAATTACTACTAATTACTGCTACTTACTACTACGACGACGACGACGACGACTACGACGACGACGACTACTACTACTACTACTACTAGTACTGCTGGTAACTCCTAGTAACTGCTAGTATTGCTACTGCCACTACTACTTCCACCACTTCTACTCTACTACTTCTACTGCTACTTCTTCTTCGCTACTACTACTACTACTACTACTACCACCACTACCACCACCACCACCACCACCACCACTGCGCAGTAGTAGTCCTACTACTGATCGAAGTCGCAGTACTCGTGCTGATCGTAGTCGCAGCACCGGCTGTGACCTTCTAGGACCACCCATGTAGACTATCTCTTCCCCCCTTCGGATCCGACCCTCCGAAGCAAAAATTAATCATGCCACACGTGCTCTGGTTCTCTGCAACGACAAATGTTGACATCTGTATGTAAGTATGTACATGAATAAGGAACTACATTTAAGAAAACACTTCTGACTGACATATATATATATATGTATATATATACATGTACAGTATCAGTACATGTATGTACAGCATCTACTATTTTATGCATCACATACCATCTCGCTTTAGTTGCGGGCCCTATCTCGCTCCCCATTAACACACCAAGACTCAATAAAACTCGGTCAAGACGAAGTAAGATCTGACACGGAGGCACGCAACTTGTCGGGGTTTGCAGCGCTTTTTCGGCGGGCTGCTTCAAGCCTCCGCCTCCGCTGCCTCAATCCTCCATCTCTTGGTCTTCGTCCTCCATGGCGAGCTGCTGCCTTACGAATGTCCAGATCTGCATCGAAGAGATCCCTCCAGAACCTTTTTACGTGTGGCCCCTGCCCGCGTTTCTCGTAGATGTTGTAGTTCATTACCTCTCAGTCTCAGACAATGCACAGAAGCTAAAGGTCACTACAAATGCCGCTTCCGTGCCTTCTCGATGAGGTCTACATGTGTCAACATCATTCGACGACAGCAATACCTCCAAAGACCAACGCAGATGCTGCAACGAGTGTCTGCTGAATGGAAGAAAGACTGATTTAAGCAGCCCGCCTGTTGAAACCAAGCTCATCCAAGACCTGTCGTCTGCGGAACTCGCGAACGAAAACATCTCAACATCCCAAAACGGCCTCTTTCTCCGGGGCTGGCTTTGGCCGCGATCTATTCTCGGGGTCATCCCTGTCTTGCTTCTCTTGCTCTTCTGACTTCCGCTGTAGAAGTTGCAGATACTTCTCCCACCTGCTCACCACAATGCAGCTGTAAGCTGCAGAATGTACCGCTGAGGGGCACCAGTTCAAAGACCCGAGGCATTGACTTGTTGCCGATGAGCTTGCCACATGAGTAGCAGCCTGCAAGAGAGGAACACTAGAACACCCTTCAGGTGGCTAAGCGAGCCTTTTGCGCGTCGTGCACGATTACAATTACAATTAACTACTATGACTATGACTATGACTATTACTATTACCAGTACCATTACCATTACCATCACTATTACTACTACTAATTACTATTACTACTATTATTGTTACTCGTATCGTTACCATTTCTAAACTACAAGTATTCGTATAACTAGTACGACTGATGTTTCGCGTTGTTTCGCATGTTTTTGTGTTGTTCGCGTTTTGCGGGTGTTTCGTGTGTTTCGCATGTTCGAATGTTTCGTTTTTGGCGCCCTTTTTGCGCGCATAACTATAGAATCAGTACTAGCATTAGTTGCACTGGCTATTCCTATTACCTTGAATTTACTATCACTATTACTATGACTACTACTATTAC